AAAAAAAAAAAAAACTCCAACACTAAGAGGGACTTTGCCTTTTCATTTCAGGAGCATCGCATGCCACTCAGATTAATATATGTTGCAACATTAGCTTTGTTAAAAATTTGAGTATCATGTTGACTGATTTACTGGAGGGCTATGAATAAAGATGACATGTGGTGAGAAAGAGAGGGTCTTGGCAAACCACTTCATTATGCAGCATCGCCATCAGCTTTGAGCTGTCATCTTTAGCTCAGCTCTCAGAATATAAACCCTTGTCCTGCCCAGTTTCATAATACATCCTCTGAGAGACCCCACAGTAAAACATGTGAGAAATTCTGCTGCAGCATTACACTGAAAAATAAATAAAATAAATAAAAATGTGTCATGTATTTAAAATGCATTTTTAAATTAATCTAATCATTTATAGTAGGTAAACAAAATTTAAATTTGATTAACAAAATATGATTTGTTCATGGTAAAATTAAGAATAAAAATGATTGAAAAATTATGATTTTGACTTGCATTAAGTAGCATTTGGCTTAAAATATCATTTTACTTTGTATGAATGTTTTTGTGTTTGGAAAAATAAATATTATTAATTAATCTTAAAAATCTAAATCTAAATTAAATCAAAAGTTTGAACCAAGCCAAACATATAATTTGAGAAAAGCTAATAAATTTGACTGTAAAAAAAAGAGAGAGAGTATTTTTAAAATGACCCAATATTTTATTTATCTATTTATTTATTTATTTTCCAGTGTACAATGCAAGATGATTCCCTTCAGATCTAGTTTTTCCCTTAATGTATTATTGATTGAATTGTAGTGACCATCATAATCACAAAAGCAATATTCTCTTTTCATCTTTTTTTGTTTGTTTACTTATTTCCGCAGTACAGCTTGATCAAAAATGTACACTCTATGAGTGATTCTTGCAAAAATACAGAAAAAAGCACACACCACTGTCACAAAAGCACAATGCCACCCGTCGTGCGAGGAATGCACCACACCACAGCCGTCACCATGGCAACACCCTCGCGCAGTCTATTATGGTCCCGAATTTACTCACTGAAATCGAGTGGATGAAAGACAGCATTAAATTACAATGAGCACATGCGTTCAGATGATTAGGAATACCTGACACTATAATGTTACCTGCTTATGACAGCTGTGACGTAATAGGCTGAATCTGTATTAAGAACACGTGTTAATGCCTTCTCTGACCCATTTAGCTGTGGGACTGACGACCTGCCCGGAGCCCGTGATCCCGGCCAATGGCATCAAGAACGGTGACAGGTACATGGTGAACGAGGTTGTGTCATTCAGCTGTGAGCCGGGGTACATGCTTCAGGTGAGTTGCTGATTATCTGCAGCACCGACACACAAATGCAACATGATGCACCTGCACACGGATAGAAAAGTATCAAAAATAACAAGGTGGAGAAGCTGGTGCATCATGTGACCTCTTTGTTTTGCAGGGACATTCTCACATGACGTGTATGCCGGGAACCGTACGTCGCTGGAATTACCCCCCTCCGCTCTGTATTGGTATGTTTTTCCATAATAATCAGATGGCAGATTTTTTTAAAACATATGGCTTTTTAATATTCAATCACCCTGGGCATTTTCTTTTGTGTCTCCTTATGTTTCTTCAGCGAAGTGTGGCGGTACCCTGTACGATATGAGCAATGTTGTCCTGAGCCCGGGTTTCCCTGGGAATTACCCTGGAAACTTGGACTGCACCTGGAGAATCATGCTTCCTGTTGGATACGGTGGGTGCGCCGAGAGCTGGCTCTGGATCAGCTGTCTGGAGATTACAGCTTCAAATGCTTTCGTGTCCCCTTTATTTTGTACACTGCAGTGTGACCAGTGTTGAGGGGGGACTGCTTAAAATAGCGAATCTACTGACTTAAAAGTAAACATGAATTTGAAATAGACCCTGTTTATTTTCTTGAAGGGATGGTTCACCATCATCATTATTCACTCACCCTCATGTTGTTCCAAACCTGTATGAATTACTTTATTCTGTTAAGCACAAAGGAAGATACTTTGAGCAACATTCTTCAAATAATCTTCTTTTGTATTTAACAGGCGAAAAGAAATTCATAGAGGTTTGGAATAATTTGAGGATGAGTAAATAATGACAAATATTCTTTTTGGTATGTAACACCCTATGCAATTTTCTTTTCTTAAATGATTGAAAATTT